ACAATCAGAAAAGACCTTCTTCATGCCCCAACATAGCCAGAATTTCAGAGGTCCGACAGAAGAATACAACCCTCTGTTATTAGGAAAAAAACAAATAAATATATATTTATTTATGTATCTATTTATATGTAAGTATATGTGTATATATTTATGTTTGGATGTAAATGTATGTGTATATATACATTTATATATTTTTATTTACCTCCTTTTCTTATTTCATCCACCCCACTTTTTTTTCCTTTTGAGCAGTTTCTTTCCATTTAACAATACCTGTTCTATATTTTTTGTTTTTTCTTTGTTTGATTGTTTTGTTTTGTTTTGGTACCAGGAATCAAACTTAGGGCCTTGCACTTGTCAGACAGGTGCTGTGCCAATGAGCTGTATCCCAGCCTTTAGTGTATATTTTGGATTTAGGATCTTATTTACTCTCACTTTCTTACACTATGGAGACAATACCATGTTTACACATTCACATCTGATTTATGTCACTTTTAGCCATGGTCTTTAGTTGCATTCATTTATATATAAAAGCTTCAAGTTTGTCCTTCTTAAAGCTAAGTGGTACTCCATTTTATAGAAATACCATATCATTTTTCCCCATTCCTCAGTTGTTGGGCATTAGAATTGTTTCCAAAAATTAGTTATTACACATTGTGCTGCTATAAATATGGATGTACATATATCGCTGTGGTATGATGTTTTATTTCTACTGGGAAAATACCCAGAATGGGAATAACTGAGTTGAATGGGGTCTCTAATCCTAGTTTTTTGAGGAAGCCCACATTGATCAAATTTGGGGGGGGGGGTATTCTTCTTTTTTTAAAATGAGAAAAAAAATAAAAATAACCTAACAATGTCCTTGTTGGTCCTAGAAATGAAAGCAAAGTCCAAACTCAAAACTAGAAGAAAATATAAAGATCAAAGAAGAATTCAGTGAAATTGATATGATAAAAACAAAAAAATCAATAAATAAAGGAATTAGATCTTTGAAACCATAACCAAAATAGACAACCCCTTAGTCAACATAACTAACAAAATGAGAGAAAAGATACAAAACAATCAAGTACAAATGAAAGAGATGAGGTCAGCAGTTTAGCAAAGAACACTGCTAAAATATACAATATTATTAACTACTAACAAACATGTACACCATTAAGCTGGAGTATTCATAAAAACTTAATACATTCCTAAGTATTTGTAAATTCTGAAAGTTGAAGCAAAAAGACTTGAAAACATTGGATAAGCCAATAACAAGGAAATTGAAGCAGTATTGAAAAATCTATTAATGAAGAAATGCTCAAGTCTTAATGAGATCATTAAGCCTTAACAATATAACTCCTCAATAAATTTTCAATAAAATTTAAAGGAAGTAGTTCTCACAAAGCCACTTCGGGGAACTATGACTAATCTGATTGCAAAGCCCAACAAAGAGCCAAACAAAAAGTGAACTATACACCAATTTTGTTGATTAATATGGATACAAATATTCTCTCATTAACACTGGAAACAAAATACAGTGAATAGTCAAAACAGTCACACCTCATGCAATGGGCCTCATCACAGAAACTTGAGGGTGTTTCAACACATGCTCTTCCATTAGATTTCTGTGAGATGGATATGCGGACATAAGGGACCTTTGTGCCACAAGACTAGACCTCTAGAATGCATGGTTGAAGAGTAAAAAACAGAGTCCTAGCACAGATCCGGTGAGGGTGTGGAGAGCTTCCTGCTACCCTGCGCTGGCAGAACCAGTCCCAGCCCAGGTGTAGCGTGGGCCAGACCCTCTCCAACCCCCTCGGGCTGCCCCCCAACACTCCGAAGTATCTCCTCCACCCCGCCCACCGAGTAGGAATTTCTGCTGAATTCCAGGAAGCCCCAGAACCAGTCCTAGCCCAGGTCCGGTGAGTGTGTGGAGAGCTTCCTGCTACCTTGCGCCGGCAGAACGAGTCCCAGGCCAGGCTCAACTTGGGCCGGACCCTCTCCTACCCCCTTGGGCCGAACCACACCACTCCACTGCACCTCCCCACCCAGCCTGCCAAGTAGGAATTTTGCAGTGTTCCGGAACCCCCGGGCCCAGTATTAGCCCAGGCTCAGTGTGGGAGTGGGAGAGCTTCCTCTTCCCCCTACTTCAACGTGCCCCCTCCAGGCACAGCTCAGGCCTGGAATACATGCCTGAGGGGCAACCCTGCAACTGCACTCCCTGCAGAAAGTGTAGAGGAGAGATCAACCCAGCTAGTCCAAGAGCAGAACATCGTGCCACAGGGGCACAACATATTCACCCTCAAAGGAAGCAGCGGTAAGGAGCTCAACACAGCAGCCAGACCTCAGCCAGTCGCAGCTTAATAAGTCCAATCTTGTAGAGCTGCACCTGAACTTCAGTACTTGCGAAGGTTATAACTACAGCAAAGATCTACAACAAAGATCAGAAGACAGTGCTACACAAAATGATGAGAAGGAACAAAATGCAACCGCAGATCCCAAGACAAACCATAACAAGTGCAGAGGACACTAACACAGATCAAATTGGAAATCACACAGCTGAAAGTAATGAATCAACAGCTTCTGAAATAAACAGCTGCAGAAAGATATAGAAGACCTCAGATTGGAAATGAAAAAAGAAATCCCTGAATTAATAATATGTGCACTAAATAATCAAATGCAGAAACACATGGAAGAAACCCAGTGCCCACCCAGAACAAGTGCGGAGGACACTAGCTCGGCTCAAATGCATGAATTAAGAGC